AAAAAATTGTCGTTTTGGGCTTCTTTTGCAAATCTGATCTACTTGCATCCGAGATTCATCAGCTCAGTATAGTTAAGTTTTCTGTTCAGATCCAACTATGGTTCTTTAACAAAAATTGACAATGAGTAACCCCATCATGCTTGTTTGCCTCGTGGAATTACTGCAAATTGCTGAACGCATGAGCTCCTCCCNCAAAATTTAGAGCAACAACAAAAGTATTAGTGATAATGACGAGTGAAAACAACAGAAGTGGTAGCTCACTGCAACTCTCTCTCTTGTGTGTGTGCACGCGCATAGCATGTGTTTATCACATTGATTACACACACTGACAATTAAGATAAACACTGATGAAATAATGGCATGACAATTATAGTGATGATATTACAATAGAATTAAGTTATTGCATGTCATAGAGTCAAAGCTGAAACATACTCCTCTCAATAAAGGGGAAAACATGGTGTTGGATCCATAATTTATGAAAGGCTGAAAAAGTTCAGTGCAACGCTTTAAATTCATTAGTCATTTGATTTTGAGGTGCTTCAGTTTTCAAAAATTCGCTGGAACGTTGGGTTGACCTTGGTCTTTGGCATACATATCATGCTCAAAAACCGACATAGGAAGAATCAATTACTTATTGAAAAAATAATAGAAGACATACATAGGGAGAATGCATCTAGCCATATGTTGTATAGCACTGCAAAAAATTGGAGTATTAGTTATCTAGGAAGTTCAAATTTGATTTGTTTTTTCCTTGAGATGATGAGGCAACAGTATTTTCTGGTACAAATATTTTCTCAAATGCTCTATATAAATGAAATATTATATTTTTTCAAATGCTTTTATCATATGTGCAGTTCATGGTGTTGAATATGCTTTCGGAGCACATGACTATCCAACAAGTGGTGTCTTTGAGCTTGAACCTCGTCAGTGCCCTGGCTTTAAATTCAGAAAGTCGGTGTTCATAGGAACAACATATTTGGATCCTATCCAGCTTAGAGAATTCATTGAGCGCCAATCAGTAAACTACAATGGTGACTCATATCATTTAATTGCCAAGAACTGTAATCATTTCTCCGATGATATCTGTTACAGGTTGACTGGGAAGCGGATACCTAAATGGGTGAACCGGCTAGCAAGAGTAGGTCTGTAATTTAATATCTTCACTGTGTGTATAGTTCTTTTTTACTTCTCAATAATCAAATGCTTAATAAAACTATATATTTCTTGTCTTCTAAAGTAAAACGAACTTTTTTTGGGGGTATTCCTATAGGTTCGTTGTGCAATTGCATTCTTCCGGAAGCCCTCAAAACTTCCACGGTACAACATGGCACAAATGTGCAAAACTATGACAGTGAGAAGAGGAAACTAAGAAGCTCTTTCAATTGTTTGTCTTCAATCTCAATGCGTCAAGGTGAGAGAGAAGTATCAATGTCATCGCTGTTCTTGCACTCTCACTATAAAGGCTGCCTTCCACCTTGGGAATCCAAAAAATCTAGAAGCAGGTCTTTGAAGGAAGGATAAGGTCTTTGTTATTCTCTATATGCACATCCATTGTGAATACTAACATAATATTACTACGTATTGCCATCTGTGAGTGTGTTGAATGGCAAAGTCGCACATAGTGCTTGTTGGCTGAGATTTCATTTGGCTTGCCGGTGTTGATTTTTGCCATTCTCTGAGTTCAAATTCTGGTGTTACAAGTTCTGCTATCCAGTTCACATTTTCATCCTGCTGGAAGATCACATCGCTACGTCAGCATCTTGAGTCACAGAAATGTATTTGTTTGTTAGTTCTCAGCCACTTTCTTATTTGATACTGAAAACAGAGAGGTTCTTGTTTTTTCTCGTGTAGAAATGTAGGAGCAATTTGCAAATCTTTTTCTTACTCTTGGATTTTGTAGCTTATTATCACTGCAACATGAACTATACTGGGAAGACACAACTGAGAGACTAGCTTATTTTGAGCTTGAAAAAATTAAGTGGTTACTCTTTCAGTTTCTAGTAAATTGATCATTATAACCTTGTATATCCCTAGTAAATTGGCTATACTTGACTGGGTATATCTCGCCGATGTAGCGAGATTTTGATGCATGTCTAGACAGGGACAACAAGAAGCCCAGTAATTTCCGACAAGTGGGGTCTGGGTCTAAGGTCACATAAGAATTCTAAAATATGTGATCACATAAGATAAAGAAGATTATGTGAAGACTGCAACTACAGCGTCTATGCCCTGTAATGTACAGCTATTTTAAGTGTTTCCAATTATAAGAGGAAAGACATATGGCCAGCTAAAGTTAATTAAAGGACTATCAATTTGATGTAGAACATGTGCTACAAGTTCATCATACTCTAAAACGTTAGCTGTCTTCAAATAAGCGTATCAAAACAAAATATTTGAAATTCTGTTCTATTCAGCATGAGTGATTGCTGATCTTATTATCGCAACCATTTAAGCTGGCAACTGGCAACTTGGTCGTAGGCTCATAATAGGAAATACTTAGTTGTTATCGTTTTCGACCCTTTATGATGCCCTTTCGCTGTAAGAATTCTGAAATATTTGACTCAGTTATATGTAGTTAATTGTTTACTAATAATCATTGCACAGTTGGTCTTGGACCAATTAAGAGAAGAGGATTGCACTGAGTTAACGGACAACTTGGTCCAACTTAAGTCTAATTTGGATATTGATGCATAATTAATTGATCCATTACATTTCAAAAATTAAAAGAATATTCAGTTAACTAAAGATGGATGGAGCCTTGGAAAATACTGACATCCTGCACTATAGTCCTCAAGCGCTCACGAATTCATAATTTAGACGTTTTGAGTTCGACTTTGAGAGAGTATTGTTTTAATTATATAACACTTTTAGGGCTCGTTTGGTACGAGAGATAAGGAACAATTAATCCCGAGATTAAATTTACGAAGAGTTTATCCCATGTTTGGTTGGGAGAAAATTATGATATAATTAATCCCGGGATTACTTATCCCGGAATTGTAGTATTTTTTATCCCCATGAAAAGGTGGAATAACTTATCCGGGGATAACTAATCCCAGGATAATTAATCCTGAGGTAACTTATTTCCAACCAAACGACCCCTTAGAGCATATATATAGAGTTGGGCCTCAAAACAAGTGCCAAATAAGGTAATTATATGTCGGGGTATTATTATTTTACCCCGCGCCATAAATTATTTACATTTGGTAGCGTATCAAATATTTGTATAACCTTTATATATAAAATTACATTCCTACGTCATATAGTAAACTATATTACCCTCCATGCTTAACTTTTAATATAATTACCTTTTATATACCTAATTACCATTTATGTACATTTTAAGGGTTTTAATGGTATTAATTAGTCTCCTAATTTAACTCTACCGTATATTCCCACTCCCCCCAAGTTTCTCTCTCCAAATCTCATCCCCTCACCCACGTATCAAACCATACCCCACGATTTCCTCTTCAATCACCCATTATTTCCTCTTCTAAAACCAGCGAAAATCTGTAACCCCTCCACCATTGACAACCATTAAAAAGCTTTGAAGCTTTGAATTCGAATTTGGGTTTTCAAAAGACATTGTTTGTTTGGATTTGATGTTGTTGCAAGGAATTGAGAATTCTCTCTCTATCTCTCAATCCCAAATTTAAGTAATATAAAGCAAAAGAAAAGAGAGCAGCAATTCCACCGTCGACAGCCATTAAAAAGCTTTGAAGCTTTGAATTCGAATTTGGGCTTTCAAAAATCATTATTTGTTTGGATTGAGTGTTGTTGCAACTAATTGAGAATATTGTTTGGAGTTTATATCTCAATTTTGATGGAGTTTGGTGAAGATTAGACTTGGTTTTGGCTGAATTTCAGATTGAAACTCGAAGAAGAAGAAGAAGAAGAAGAAGTTGTAGTTGTATTTAACTAGGTAGAAATAATGTGTGAAAGTTGTAGATAAATTGTATAATATATAATTAGTTGTATGGAATTTATTTTTTATTATGTATAAATCAGATACAAAATATACAAAAGACATATTGTATAAATTTTGTATAAAAATTGTATTTAAGTTGTTTTTAATTGTGTAGAAATAATGTATAAAAATAAACACGTCGTAATAGCTGTTGGAACTTTGAAAATGAAGTTAGCTATTCTATTCGTATTTGCTAAGTAAATGGTAGTAGAAGATATGATACAATACAACCAAGAGAGGGACCATTATTCATTAATGAAAACTCAAATCCATTCATTTGTCCTCGCGAACTTATGGAGACGTACGCCTAACTCAAAACTACACTAACATTACACATAAGTAACCATAGTTTCTATTAACAAAAATCAGTGTTAATAAAGAAGAGTTTTTTTTTCATTTTTAGCAGCTTCAAAAATTCCTGGGTGAAAAAGGAAAAGAATGTTCTCAAAATTCAGAAAGAAAAAAAGAACGAACAAAGCTGCGGTTGTTTCTAGGAGTTAGCTCCAGACAAAAAAGGAACAACCTCCTAGTAATTTTGTATAAAAAGATAATGGAAGATCTAGAGAGAAAGGGGAGAGAGGAGAAAAAGAAAAAGAAAAATGGTGTAACTAAATTCCTTAACTGAAGACATTAATAATGGATTGTGAGCCTTTTAAGGTGGAATGTATATATTTTACAAACAAAACTTGTGTATGTAGGGTAATTTACTAAACATGAACATTTAGGGTTATATAGTTTACTAAACAAAACTTTTAGTTCTTATGTCATATAGTAACTATATGACATAAGAACTAAAAAATAATATATATATATATATATATATATATATATATTACTATAATTTTTTTAAGAACGGCTATAGAGTAGTATCATTTTCCCTTTTATGTCATAATCAAAGATGCCCAGTACTATGTAGGAATTTGTCACCTGGGAGATAAGTTTCAAAATTCATTTAAATCGTGGAATCCACTTCGAGGTTGACAGCAAGTCAGCACTTGCCATCGAAGCTTCTATCAGAAAATTCTAAATTCAGATATCTAAGAAAATTCCAAAAAACCTCAGGAATTCTAGTCAACTCTACTTGTGATAACCCCAATTGGAAAAATTAACCCAAGATATAATCTCAAATAGCTAAAAGTGCTTACTAAAATCCTCTATTCAAGAATTGCATACAATCTGTTTGGAGAAAAAACTGATAACTTAGTCTATTACAGATGATTCACAAGTCATAATTAGATAAAGGGTTGTGAGTTTGTGACAATTTTTGGTTTCTTGATTATGGGTAAAGGAGGAGGCTGTATGCCAAGCAAGAAGAAGTTTCCTATAAATGAATCAGCAGAGAGACCAGCAAGTCAAACTGAAGGAACTGATGTTACAGGCTCAGAAACAGAGGGGTCCAAGAAATTGAGAATATTTATTGTGTTTTATTCAATGTATGGACATATTGAAAGCTTGGCAAAGAGAATGAAAAAAGGGGTTGATGTGATTGAAGGTGTTGAAGGGGTTCTTTATAGAGTTCCTGAAACATTGACAACAGATGTTTTGGAAAAAATGAAAGTCCCACAAAAAGATGATGAGATTCCAGTAATATATGTGGATGAGCTAGTTGAGGCTGATGGATTCTTGTTTGGATTTCCTACAAGATATGGATGTATGGCAGCTCAAATGAAGGCATTTTTCGACTCGACGGGGAAGTTGTGGAGAGCACAAAAACTTGCTGGAGTGCCTGCAGGTTTCTTTGTGAGTACTGGTACACAAGGAGGTGGCCAGGAGACCACTGCGTAAGTCTAATCTTCTGTCATTCATTTACTTGTGTTTACACTATTGATCATTTCTTTTGTCATTGATGATGTTTGATAACTGTGTGAGCTGAATTTGCAACTTTCAGTTGGATGTTAATGTATTTGGCGAATGTCAAAGGTGTATATGACATATATGTAAAACAAAGAAGAATAGAGTAGTAATTTCTAGTTTGAGACAACAAAAGGTGACACAAAATGATGGATACCCTTCAGATAATTGCTCCACCTTGTTGCCGATGAATAGACAAAAGAAATGGAGAACACAAGCAGCAGGGGCGGATTTAGGGGCGCGGAAGGGGGTTCACCCTTCACCAGAAAATTACACCATATACATATATGGCAAAATTCGTTTTGTGCCTATATATATATATATATATATATATATTATATTTTGAACCTCCTTACCACAACCCAATCAATTGGAGTGCATACTAATGACTAGTCTTAAAATTCATTTTGCCAGCCCTACAAAATCTGCATGTAGCTTTCCATAGTTCCCGAAGTATTATCGTTAACTAGTAGTGATAATGTTAGAGTACCCCGTGATTTCAATGTTGGCTTGCACGGAATCATTGAAGAGGAAGGCTCTAGAAACCCCAAAAATACAGTTCTGATTAATCCTCCAACAAATGGCTGAAATACTTGAGAAATTTAGTTTATTGATCTTCTAGTAGGCCTATTAAGGCATCAAAATCACTCACCAATTGTCAGTACAGAATCAGTTAGCTAACTTGTTGGCTGCTGTACTAACTATCCATTATAGTGACAGAGATCTGTAGCTCTAGCCACTACTCCATCAGAACATCATCTACCTGTCAATCCAACCATATTAGGTCAGAAATCATTTTGGAGGAATAGGAATCTGATATTTTTGATATAATTGTAGTACCTCCCTTGGACTAATAGGTCTCTTGGCTATTTTATGTTTACAGATGATGACTATACATAATTTTGATGTTGATATGCATGCTAACATAAGATCACAATAACACATGTCTTATATATCAAAATTACTTAAATCTTGAAAGTTATTATTCTCCTAGGGAAATAGCCCTTCTGTGGTTCCTATTAATATAATGTTATTGAAGCATAATTATCATTTCGTAATTTGCAACCTTGGGAAGTCATGGTGCTAGTGGATAAATGAGCTTAAACTCAAAGAGGGAAATTAGATGCTGGTTCTCTTCTTTTGTTCTTTTTCTCGTCTTTTAACCTTTTTCCCTGTTGAATGGAATGGGCACAAATAAAGCCTCATGATTAAAACGGATTTGTACAATTGAGATTGAGGTGTGGCTGATTGATTGAATGATTCTTTTTTCTTTTCCCTTCTCCCCTCTCTCAATTCTGTGTGTTGCAGGTGGGTTAAGACTTGAGAAGATGACTGAAGATGCCGATAGTAGTAGGTTGATGGCGATGACTTCTGGTTGAGTGGCTTCCTGAATTTAGTGTAGAAGGATGGTTGCAGGATCTACAGATGAATTGGATGGTTATTAGTTATTTTATAAAAATGGCTTGCTCGTATATATAACAACAACAACAACAAAAAAAGATCCAGTTTAATCTCATAAATAGGGTTTGGGGAGGCTAGTGTGCACGCAGACCTTACCCCTACCTTATAGAGATAGAGAGGTTGTTTCCGATGGACCCTCGGCTCAAGGAACATTGGAGATAAAGCAACCAAGTAGCAAGGAATAGTAACAACAATGTAATATGTTAATGGACGCGAATTCCACAACATGTAATAATAAAGAACCATGAATAAGAAATTACAAAAATAGTCCTAGTACTACCGGTAAGCCTAGGAGGAACACACTACTATCTGTCAACCTACAACTCTAATCCTCGATCTCCACACTTCCTATCGTGGGTCATATTCTCGGTAAGCTGAAGCAATGACATGTCCTGCCTAATTACCTATCCCCAATACTTCTTAGGCCTACCTCTTCCCTTCCTCATATCCGCCATGGACAACCTCTCGCATCTCTTGACCGGAGCATCTATGTCTCTCCTCTTCACATGCTCGAACCATCTCAGCCTCGATTCCCGCAACTTGCCCTCCACAGATGCCGTGGAATCTTTAAGCATGATATTTTCTCCACAAATTGACATTGTCTATGAAGGACTATAGCTGTACTCTTATGCAATCTCTATTTCCTTATCTTCTGTTCTCTTTTCTTCTTTCTGATGATTAATTTATATTCTTCTTCCAACATCAATCATGCAAGTGAGTTGAGGGACAGAGCTTGGTCGACGACAATCTGCTAAATCCAGTGGTCCATATTCAAATGTTTCTTTTTTCGTATTGCAGCTGGACAGCAATTACTCAATTAGCTCACCATGGGATGGTCTATGTTCCAATAGGATACACATTTGGAGCAGGGATGTTTAGAATGGATTCAATAAGAGGAGGTTCACCATATGGAGCTGGAACTTTCTCAGGAGATGGTAGCAGGGAACCTAGTGAACAGGAGTTGGCGCTGGCCGAGCACCAGGGAAAGTACATGGCAATGACAGTTAGGAGAATGGCTCAGCACCATTCATTACCACCAGATAATCACAGCTGCTGACGCTTTTAGAAACGGGAAAAGGTCCAAATTTACCCCTCCACTATATGAAATATCTTAACTGTACCTTCTGTGAAAGCCATTCATAACCCTTGTCACTAGCATAATGTTTCGTATTTGCCCTTGCTTTTAATATAACTCCAACATAGAGATGGTGAATTTCACGTGTCAAGATTACCTTATGTTATACTTCAGGTTGGAGTTGCTAGAGTCGAGGACAAATACGAGACGATTTGATAACAACGAGGATATGAATGGCTCCAAAGTATAACATAGGAGATAATTAAGATATTCCATATAGTAGAGGTGTTTTTTATCCGTTTCCCTTTACAAACACCCTACATGTAATATTTGTACATTCTTTGAAAACACTTTCTACACTGTATGTATCAAAATCTGTGTGTCTCTGGAAAGTCATGTCGTTTCATTTATTTGTATTTGATCTTTAGATCCTACGTGGGGGTGGAGAGGATGAAAGTTGATGTGCTATAAATACTGAATTATGGTTTCTGATCCATTTGTTGATATGTTTTTGCCTCTTGTTTTGAAGGGGACTAGCGAACTCTTGGTCATTTGAAGGCATTAGGGCATCTAAATGGGCATTGCTTGTTGCTAAAATCTGAAAATAAATCCAATAGTTCTATTCAAAAATTTGACCATTAGAAAATACAAATTGCTTATGATAACGGGAGAAAGAGAAGTGTTTGATGAGCAGAGTATATCTGGCTCATGGATAGTGCCTTGATTGGTTATAAATTAGCTTCAAGACAAAGCACGTTAAATTTTTTTTTAAAAACAAAATCGTTCTATTAGATAAATAAAAAAGTAGGTAATTTTTTTCAATATAATGCTCAAAACCTAAAAATCGAGTGGATAAATCATAATTCATATTTCGTTAATTAATTGGATTAATTTCGGGAGTAGTTACTAACTTTTGCTTTATTGCATTATGTGATGCCATGACGGAGGGCGAACCGATGAGGGCGGGTCAAGCAGGACTGGTAGGCTTCTAGGCTGACAAGCTTATAAAGAAGGGGTGCACATAACACCTTAGGCGAATCCCACATCGGAATGGGAGAGGAAGTGAAGAACTTTATAAGGCATGACACAAATTCACATGGTAAGCGCGCTTTTCAAGGTGGCATAGTTAAAAAAAAATTTGTGTTGACTTAGGCCCAAAGCGAACAATACGTGTCATGAGCTTGTATCGTGACAAATATGGTATCAGAGCTGAATTCATATACAAATATGGATATATTTTTATAAGGCACGACACAAATTCATATACAACTTGCACTTTTGGGGCTTCAGGTAGCGTGACCCAAAAAAAATAAATCAATTATGGTCTTGGGTCGTGACACATCACATTCATTCAACTATTTTTTATATACCAAAAATCACAACTTTCTCTAATACATTTTCATTATTTTTTGCCAGTACTTTCTTCCTATGTTATTTAGTCAAAGTTAAGCGATTTTTTTATTTTAAAAATTATAATTTATTGAGTTTTATTTACTTAGTTAAGATTGAGGGACTTTTTTATTATAAAAAATATTTTAATAAATTTAGTGCAATAAATTGAGTTAATATCGATGTGCCAAACACAGCAGCGCGTTTTACCTGAATTGTGTGTGTAACTTAATTCACTGGACTCAAATACCACGTTGGAAACCAAGGACGAAGACTGAAACTGAAGGCATCTTTAAGCTTCAAATCGGGCAAAACCCTAGCAGTGCATTTTGAAGATGTCTCGAGCACTAGCTTTGCTCGCGCTCCTCAGCTCCTTTCCATTTCTCGCACTCCTTTCCAATGCATTTTCTCCTGAAAACCCCACAGATCGGAGAGTTTTAGTTTTGCTCGATGATTTCTCCATCAAATCTTCACATTCTCTCTACTTCAATTCTCTCCAAACCCGAGGTTACGATCTCGATTTCAAGCTCGCCGATGATCCCAAGATCGCATTACAACGATACGGCCAGTATTTATATGACGCCTTAATTCTCTTTTCTCCAACCATTGATAGTAAGTCTCTATATCAGCATCTCAACGATTAGTGTGTTTGAATAAATGTTTAATTTAATTCTTTTATTTTTTTCGCTTCAGGTTTTGGTGGATCACTTAATGCGGCAGCTATACTGGAGTTTGTTGATGCGGGTCATGATTTGATTCTTGCGGCTGATGCATCTGCTTCTGATCTGATTCGTGAGATTGCTTCTGAGTGTGGAGTTGATTTTGATGAGGTAGCTTACATTTTTTGTTCAATCAATTAGTCACAACTTCACCTCAATCCCGAACTAGTTGTCCGTTTGCCTATTTTCTTCTTTACTATGGTCAAGTGAATTTGATGTGATTCACCATTGGCGACTGCAAATATCTGCTAACTGTGTCTGTATTCCAAAAACAAATTATGGACATAATTTAATTGTTTCCTTATGATAAGTGTACTCATACTTTTGTGAAGTTAAACATGAAATGCTGATTCATGTTCTTCTACACTCTATATTATGCATAATAGGATGTGGCAGCTATGGTCGTCGATCATACAAGCTATGCAGTTTCTGATACAGAAGGGGACCACACCTTGATTGCTGGTGATAATTTCATACAATCTGATGTAATCTTGGGCGGAGAAAAGATCAAGGTAAAACACTATATTTCATCAGAGGATTATTTTTATTAATCATGATATTTGTGTTTTCTCTTCTATTTTAATCCTTAATTGATTCGATCAATAAACTATACAACAACAACAACAACAACTCAGTGTAATCCCACAAGTGGGGTAAATAAACTATATTAGTTCATAATCGTAGCCCATTCATATTTTGAGTGAACATAATCAATAAATAGACTACTAGTTCTTTGTTTTGTGTTAGTAAGAGGGATCCAAAATAGACCGTAGAACCCAATTCAAGTATCACTTTAATGGGCGGAGGAACAGACCAAGCCCAAGTGGGGAATAATGCTGCTCGGTGGGCCGGGCCTGAACCGGACCGGACCGGGCCCGCGGTCCTAACGGNAAGAAGTATCTAGGTGTCGAACCTTCCAACCGATGTGAGCTTAGGACGATCATACGTGTTATTTACCTTGAACATGATGTGTCCTATAGGCTCGTACCATTTTATCGTTGAATTTCACAATGTGCATTTTTTGAGGCATTTATGGTGCTATTTTGATATATGTTGGGTCATAAATTTTATGCACAAACTTCGCCTGTTTCTTTTTTCCTTTTACATTGGGCATATGTGATTGTATATAGGAGAATATAGCTCTCATGTCCTGCTGTGATAAAAGCAGCATTTTTTTAACTATACTTTTATGTGAAATCAATTCAGGCTCCTGTACTCTTCAAGGGGATTGGTCATTCTATAAATCCAGCCAATAGCTTGGTAAGTTTCTGTGAGTTATTTATTTCTGAACATGAAAAAGGGAAGAAACATTCTGTATAGTTATTTAATGTCAAAAGGGTGCATACATCACGCTTGCAGGTGATGAAAATCCTCTCAGCTTCTCCTTCAGCATATTCAGCTAATCCTAAATCCAAATTATCAGCTCCGCCAACACTCACTGGATCCGCAATCAGTCTCGTTTCAGTCGTGCAGGTGTTTCATCCAATATGTGTGATATTTCAAATCGTGTTCTTTGATTTCTTCCTGTTCAGTCTTCTTTCTTCTCTCTGTTCTTTCAGATTGTTGACCTTGATTCTCAAAAGTTGTCCAATGGGTGCTGTTTAGCTTCTAAAGATAATGAAACCATGCACAATGTGTGCATAAACATGTAACAGAAAAAGAATCACAAATTGCTTTTTTAAAATTAAAAAAAAAAATAACAGTAGGAGATGGAAAGGTGTAGGCAATAGGTGTCGGACCATCTCATTGATGTATGTAATGCACTGCATACCTTGCTGACAATCTTCGCCTCATAATGCTCCCCCCAACCCCACCCTCACCCTCGGTCCATCTTCCTTCTTCCTTTTTGTAGCTGAACATTAATGATGTTGTTTAAGATACAATCAACAACTTGTAAATAAATTAGTGATAATTGTGTCCATTTGCAGGCAAGAAATAATGCTCGAATTCTTATATCTGGCTCCTTGAGCATGTTTGGCAATCGGTAAGTGCCTTTTGAGGCTTTGGGTGGAGTATATCTACTCTGAATTGCTTGAACTGAGAAACTCTTCTTTTCTTATGAGCAGATTCTTCAGATCTGGGGTGCAAAAGGCTGGAAGCACAATCAAGTAAGCAATTGTAGATATTCTGTTGCTTTTGTTTGTTGAAATGATAATACCCTGAGTGTGATGGGTGTTGAGGCCTCAGCATCAATTGGCTTAAAAGAAGGAAAAAGAAACAAAAACTAAAAGCCATACTATTAGGTGAATTTCTCTAAGACTTTGTGTTCCAGTTGAAGCAGGTGCTAAGAACATCATTAATATGGCAGTAAGATATCCATCATCTAGGAAAAGGTTTCCCAACTATTGGTGTCCTGAATTGGATCAGTATTTGGCTTTTTATATTAGGAGGTCCATCACTGTTTAAATTGGTAGAAAGTGATAAGAACAATAACTAGGATGTACTTGTTGTAGATTTAGACATTTTGTTGTTGATAAAGATGACCTCGGGTTGGAATGGGAAAACCTCAAACTGGTGGCACAGGGAAACATGTGGTTCACCTTGCATTTGGATTATGTTTTGAGTTTGCATGTGTCTCATAAAGTATTTGACAACCTAAACCATGTTCACATTTGATCTTGTTGAATACATGCTTTCTCGTTTGGTAGAAGTCACTTGTGTGTAGCTTTTGCCTAACTTGATCTTTGTTGGATTAACTTTCTTACTGAGCTTTTCTTATACTAGAAGTTAGATACTTTATTGTGTATAGTGGGCATTATGTACTTATAATCGCCCAGTATTTTGACTGCTAAACATATTTGCTGGAATAGTAACAGTTCCATCTTGCATTTTGTTCTAATAAATTAATTAATGACTGGGGAATTCATTTGGATTCATATTGTCCACTTTGTTGTCAAGCGACTGCCTTGGTATTTAGCACTCCGTTGCTCTAACTTGATTTTAAGAAGTGATTTAGCCTAAAGGTCCCTTTGGCCCAAAAACCATTGTCTTTATTGTGATGCATCTTGGAGAAGCATGTGAAAATGATCTAAAGATTCCTCAAATACAAAACTTGAGGGCAGCTCAATTTAGAAATTGACTGTCCTTTCCAAATTGGGTGCCTTGGTCCTATAAAGGCTATATGAGTGCAACCTGCTAGTGTTGCTCAATTTTGCATGATTATGTGGACTGGAAGAAGTAAGTCAGTATAAAGGGATAATAATAAAATTAAAGGTTGCTTTGATATGTAATGTCTTGTTATTTGATTTCCTTGTTTTTCACTTAATGCTAGAGAAGCAACAGCTTGAAGCCAATGCGCCTTTTACTGTCCGTTTCTACGTTTTCTATGCTTCTGACGTGATAGACCATAAATTTTCTCCCATGATCACAGCCATGATAAATCTGGCAATGAGCAGTTTGTGACTGAGACTAGCAAGTGGGTCTTCCATGAAAGAGGTCATCTCAAGGTGCAGCATCAGAACTAATTTCTTAATTCACATTCACGCCTTCTCCATTTTTATCTTTACCTTGTAGTCATGTAAAAGGAATGCTAGTCAATTGGCTGCATTTTCAGCATTCATATTTGCCGTTTTCAGTATATGAATTGGTATTTATGTCTATACAAATTTTCATATATAGGCTGTGAATGTAAGACATCACAAAGTTGAGGAGGCAGAGGAACCTTCTATATACAGAATCAATGATGACCTGGTACAGCTACACCATAAGTTTGTTCTAATTTGTCACTCTTATATAATGTATACTTTTGGATGTGTGCTGAAACCGAAATTTTAATTGAAGGAATATTCTGTTGAGATTTATGAATGGTCTGGAACAAGTTGGGAACCTTATGTCGCAGATGATGTTCAAGTTCAGTTTTACATGATGAGCCCCTATGTTCTGAAAACCCTGTCAACCAATCAGAAGGTACTCTTAAGTGCTCCAGAATTGACATGGTAAGATAGTTGTTCCATCACTTAGATTAGCATTGCTAATTCCACTTCCTACAGGGTGTCTATTATACATCGTTCAAGGTTCCAGATGTTTATGGAGTATTCCAGTTTAAGGTTGAGTACGAGAAATTAGGATTCACAAGCTTGAGCCTTGCAAAACAGGTACTCCCTTTTAAAATCTGCAGGCACTATCTCTTATAGGGGCATCTATAAGTTTAGAATAGTCATATTGCAAGCATTTTATTTGCTTGAAGAGGTAGGATGTGGTCATTATTTTCATACTTAATAGATATTGGTGAAGAGTTGATATATATGATGAATTAGTCATTCTGGACATAGCTATAATTAGGACACTTTCTTTCCACATATTTGGTGAGATAATTACTAAAATTCTCTTATAATTACAAAGTGATACTTAACTTTTGGTTCTCTCTTAGACTAGGTATTTTGTATGCTTCCTTTTACCAATGATATTTGTAGAAGCAGCATGCAAATTATTATGAAGACATTCCTTTTTATTTTTGATAAGTTTATCATGAAAATATTCATGTATCTGCAGCTTGTTTGGATGGTTGTGTTTGATGAATACAATGTTTGGATAGATTATATCATTTGACGTCGTTTCATGATATCACATACCAGCAATATGAAGAATAAACTTGCAATATTATAAAAAAAAATTATGATACGGGGTAAAATTATTATATGAAAATATAGGATAAATGATAAAATAAAATTATTTAATTATAATGAAGGGTGATATTGAGAGAAAAAGACAAGGTAACGACGCGACCACATCAAATCGGTCGTTACATAAGGTGGCACATTTCGTCGTTACGTAACGACGGATTTTACGATATGATACAATAAAATTTAAGTAACAATCAAAACAAACATCGTATTTAAAGTAACAATACAATACGATACAATAGGTAACAACCATCCAAACAAGTTGTTATGTTTTATTGCGCTAGTTCTTTGACATTGTTGGATGAAACAATGCATATATTTGTCCCTCAGTGCCCTGCTGTTCATAAGAGATACTACTTGTCTCAGAGGTTGATTTATAAAAGCCCAGTTAGGCCTTAATTGACAGCTATTTCATATTGCTTGAGCTTTGAAGTGCAAGATTAACAGCTTCTGCACTTAGTTTCGGTTAGCTACGTCATCCTTCGGTTTAATGATATGTAACAAAAGAAGATTATTGCACGGCACTTTGTATACTCGTTTGCATTAATGCCCTGGCGAAAACTTACTTGCAGATTCCTGTTCGCCCCTTCAGACACAACGAATATGAGAGATTTATAACAACTGCCTTTCCTTATTATGGAGCATCCTTCTCTATGGTACATTATCTCCCTCCCTCCCTCCCTCTTTGCTATGTATTATGGAAAAAATAGTTATAACCCATGCTTTTCTGTTTAGACAAATTTCTCCTGAAGTTGCTGAGACTTGAAAATAAGAAGCCATGTCATCTGGTTTAAGTAGGGCATGTAACCAAATTTATAACAACTAAAACAATTGTATATATGATGGTGAGTTCAACCTGATTTTGTTAGGAATATTAATCAGAAATTTGTTGCAGTAGGTGTCCTACTGTGAAAATATATTTTGAATAGTTTTACTAGTTAACTTTACAAGTTTTATTTAGAGATGCAGAAAAATGTGAATTTGATAGTATTGCTTCTAAAACAGTTTGCCGAGTGCTTGATGGGTAATTTTTTTGTCCGCTGTGTGGTATTTGGATAAGGTGACCTAAGTGAAGTACCCACGTACTATGTGAGAAGGTTTTCCCTTTCTGATTTTATGATCTTATTAATCCTGAAGATTCAGTGTTAATCTCTTTCTATCATGGGCTATTAAGATACTTTCGTTCTAATTATTAACATAAAAGTGCTATTACGACACTTTGGTGGTTCTGATGATATTAAAAAATTTATGCTATTAAGATATTTTGATTGTTTCAATCCACAAGAATGTTTTATATGATTTCTATTTTCTGTATGACAGATGGGTGGTTTCTTCCTCTTCTCCTTGGTATATCTCTACCACAAGTAGATGCAAGATGGCTGGAACTAAGAGTACTTGAAGAATCAAGTGCAGATTTTGTTCTAACCTCCAAGATAGAAATAGATGATGTCTCAAGCCTGTAGTATTTTTCGAAACAAAAAAGGTGTAGTTTTACGTTTCTTAGCAGTAAAACTTTTAGTTTAATAATTTTATATGCGTCCAAATACATTTTCTTGGCTCCTTTTTCCTGTTTCTTTGGATCTATGATGATTTACCATTGTGTCATAATTGCCATGAAGTTATCTCCATTATACATGCACAGTTGCTGGTTAGGGAGTTATTCATGCAGTAAAACTAGCATAGCTAATGCCATGCTTGATAGCTTTTTAGTTGCTTTGTACTTGTGAGTCAATTTATATATTATTTTAAAGAATTCAAGTCAAGCCTTTAATTCAGTGCATCCTCTTAAAGTTTAAGTTCATAGTGGGATATAGAAATTTATCGTCAAATTAAGGGATATGCCCCTCTGTTTATTAGAAAAGTCCCCCTCCTCTTAGGATCATGTGAGAGTAATAGAACAAACTAGTCCGTTTAGCCTATCTTCATGTCCCCCCAAAGTTATTTTCCATTAAAGACCTTGACTGCAATGAGGCAGTTTGCAGCTTTAGGAGTTGCAAAACCTGGTCTTAGCCCTCCACCTTCGGCACAAGACAGGTAGTTTATTTGAATCCTTACAATTTAACCTTAAAGCCATCACCACTACATAATCAAAGGAAAATCAATTTTCCAGCCATGTCTGTTCTGCTCCGTCATGTCTTCCACACTCATTTCTTCTTGCCATTTTCAAGTCATAGATTCAATACCATCCTCTTCCTCACGCCGTCCAATTCTTTCTTTTAGATCCAAACTCATTTTTTCAAACATTTTCTCGTCAATTCCCAAAAAACTATTTCTGCCATTTTCAGCAATTCTCAATCAACTTTTGAGCCACATTTTTGCTATTTTTTCAGCCATAGGTTCTACCAACTTGGAAGAAGAAATGTTCTTACAATTGTTTTCAAGACCTTGAACATTTTGTGTACCAGAGTTTTATGGTATACGTTGTTTTTTCTTGTTGTTGAGGAGACAGAGGTCTTCGTCGATTGAGACATTTTTTTCGCTGGCGAATCTGATGAATGTGAGTATTGTTCTATACTGTTCCCAGTGATAGTGGGGATTCTTGGCTTCTTGCCCAGATTTCTCGAAAAGAAAACAAATTGGGTTTTAGTTTCTTTATTGGTGGTGATGGTGGAATACCTAGGTTTGGCATGTTTTTCATTCCTTTCCTTTACAGATTTGGGCTCATGCTGCATTGCAATTTTTTAGTGCGACTCTAGAGAGAGAGAGTGAAAGGGGGAAGGAGATTAAAAAAAATTGAAGAAATTAGTTGCTGGAAAAATTCACTTGTTACTCCATATTTTCGATGAAGAGGGGTGAGGTAAGAGAGGAAGAAAAGAAAAAAAATTAATGAGAAGGGTGAGAAGTTTGTTTCGGACCATTTTACCCACTCGAAAAATGTGAGAAACACTTACCTTGCTAAGTCAGTTTTTTGTGTCTAAATGACACACTAATAAATAGGGGTGTTCATAAAAATCTGAAAACCCGAACCAAACCGACCAAAAAAAAAGATACTTTTTGTTTTGATTTGTTTTAAAATTTAAAAACCGATCAAATTTGGTTTGACTTTGATTTTAATTAAAAAAAACCGAACCAAACCGAATATAGAAGTAGATATTTTAAATTTATTATTACACCTATATATATATGTATATTTTTATACAAAGTTTTAAAAAATTTATAGTAAATATTAATCGTTTGCACTTTTAGTACAGTTCTTTACCTTTATATTCTAATTTAATTGATAATTTTCTTTTGTTAAGTGTAAGAATCTATTTCATGTTAAAAATAATATATTTTTAATTGAGTTCTTAAATTATTCATCACTATTTGATTCAATTATCATCAATATACCTTGGTAAATAATATATTTCTCAAAGGGCAATTGATTTAATAGTGTTCCGTTGAAAATGTGATCGTCGAAAAAAACCAACGAATCCAGAAAAAAACCGACTTACTTGTTTGGTTTGGTTCTAATATTTGAAAAACCGACTTGGTTGATTTGGTTTTTTTTTAAAGAAAACCGATCCAAACCGAACCATGAACACCCTTACTAATAACTTAATTAAAGTGTTCAAATGAAATATACTTAGGCCCTTTGGGCCATAAATTTTTTGCAAAAAATATTTGACAAAAGTTGTTTGTTTTTATAATTTATCCATATTTTGGCAAATTTGAAAACAAAATTTCCAAATCGCAAAACTAACTATACGAGTTCTCTAACAATTTAAAAAATCACCCAAACTTTTGTATCTTATAAAAAAGTTCACCATCTATTATGGCCCAACTAATCCACTAGCTAGTTACTATCATTTTTTTACTCTTTTTACTAATAAATCTTATAATATTATTACAATGTGACAAATTGTAATAGCTAATAATTATGATATTAGCAATTTATATTAAAATATCAAGTTAAATTTTTAGGATAGTGTATTATGTAGTTTATTATGATTATTTTGTGCCAAATTTATCTACGTTCAAGACTATAATTTGTGATAATAATAACTATATTTGTGATAATAATAACAATGAATGACATCAACGAAGGTTCTACATGTACACAGGATTAACAAGTTTGTTTGTTTGGTATTATTGGATATTTTTTATTGTTTTTAAAACTTATGGGTATAAGTCACATTTCATACTTTTTGAAAAGAAAAAAAAAGTTAAATATGTTTTAAAAAATGAACAAATTTTCACCTTCGAACCAAATTAAATCCAAATCAGGTTTTAAAACAAATTTAAAAATTTATTGTAAAATGCTAACTTAAAATAGAGTATCTAATGTATTTTGCCGTTTCTTCTCAACAAAAGTAAGCCACTAGCAACAAAGTAATGCTAAATGTATCTATCTATCTATCCAAAATACATCTATATGAATTTCTTTCTTAAGTAATTCTAAATACATTGATGTATGTGAATTTCTCTCTTATTAAGAAAAGTAAGATAGATGTTCAGTCTGTTTACGCCTTTCAGATAGTTAAGCATTTACTCGGCATTGCAAACAACGGATTTAGACGAGGAACCAAAAAACAATCTCAAACAGAAATAGAATGAGGAAAAAAAGGAGCAGAAAAGAGATAAAATATATATGGGAATGGTTACTAGTAAACGCCTTCTTGAAAAAAGAGAAAAGGCGTTATCAGCGAAACCTCCATTTTGTGAGTTTGATTTAGGCCTCCCATGAATCAAATAAGCACTGATCAAATCTCAGCTTAATTGGGATTATGAAGGCCATTTACACTAATGCAGATCAAATCAAGAACTATAAACAAAAATAATGGACAAAACAGAAAATGCGGACATGAAACCTTAGCTGCTGTCTGTCGAGACCTTACGGCTAGTAATGGGTAATGTGCAGCGAGCTATGCTTTATATAGTTATCAAATGAGAAATACTACCAGAACCCTAACGCCGATTTCATTTTGACCCTTTAATTTGTTCATATTCACTTTTCGCCCCGGTTGTTTCAACTATTTCTGTATTGACTATTATATATACATTCATACTCCCTTCAAACGTTTTATCCGAGCCAATTTGGTACAAACTATGTATCCAAATAAAGAAAGAACCATGTAATTAAGTTTTGAGGATGAAGACTCATATTAACGTACTTAATACCAAAATAAAAATTACTTTACGCGATAAATTATGCAACAATTTCATAAAATATTTTTGTACTATATTTGTTTCAAATATTGTGATTTGATTGGACGTGAAATTTAAAGAATATTTTTTAAACTTATGATCTTCAAAAAGCCATGAGAATTTTTTAGGGTACTAGTCTTAGGCGCGTGTACCCATATTGATGAGTATATAATATTAAAAATTATACAAATATTTTAAATTATAAAATAAAAATATAACTTCCTGAAAATGATAAATATTGGTCGAAAGAGGACTTTCTACTTAGTAAGTAACTATTTCTAATTGTTTTTATTTTATTTTATAGATTTTAAAGTCCTACAAAATTGGACTTTCTACGTCAAGGAAAGAACATTTTTTCATATTTTTAGAATAGACGCTTTGTGCATCTATCTCATAGTATATATTTGGCATATAATTGTTATTTGTCATTTTGAAAGTATTTATTGAATTTGATGTTGAGCTAAAAAAAATCATTATTGTGAAAATTAGGTTGTTTATATCAAATTATAGTATTTATTAGAATATATATTTATATTTTGGTACATTAATTTTATAGAAGGCGCGTATGATTAAAGGATAATAGATATTTTATTATATCCCCAGAGATCAATCATAATTTTTCACGCAAAGTGTTTTTTTATTTCTTATTTTTTACTAAGATAACTAAATTACATAAATTTATGGGTTTAATTTTTATGATCGATTATAAATCTAAAATTAAGAATAAGAAAATTAGTGAATTGCTGATCGACTTTAGGTATAATTTTTATTTTCTCTTTCTCTAAATTTTATGTTTTACTTTTACTAAAATAGAATTAATTGGTTATAACTCTGTACCAAAGAGTAATTCAAACATATAACACGTAATAACTATTTTTTACTTATTCTATGCGGAATGTTTTATTTTCTGTATTATTTTTTTTTATAAATTATTATGTTACATAATTCAAAAAAGCAAAAATTGCATAAATATTTAAGAAAGAATTTAATGTATAAAATTTAGTTGATATAAAAACTTCTAAATATTAGGAGAAAACTTAAATTCTGGAAAAAAGTCTTGTCTACTGATAAAAGAAACAAATTAATAGTTTTGCTAGCTTGTTTGACTTAGAAATTAATAAGATTAGCAATCAACATTTTGTCTTAATTTAATAATAAACTCTGAATATAAAAATAGAAATTGGAAGTGCATTTCTCTGATCGTGCCTTTTCAATTTCAAATCACAAATATTGACTACCATATTTGTAAGTAGAGATATGTTGAATTTGAATTTCTAAATACAAAAACTTTTACTTGTTTCAAATAAGGAAAAAAATATTAACCAAATTTTAGTTAAAATTAAAATCCTAAGTATCTAGGAGATAATTAAATGGTTATTCCTAAATATTAGGGAATTCAATTATGATTCCTAAATACTAGGAAATTAATATAAATGATTATTTTGTCTAATGTGAACTCTATTTTTAAAGGGCAAAAAAGACGAACGATATTTCGTTAAGGGCCTTCGTGCTTTTAATAAGTATTAGTTTTAGGATACGTGCATTGCACGTGTAGAAAAGTCAGCCAACATTTCGCGTTAAAATCTTGTGCTTTTATAATTGTATAAATTAATAAAGTAGATGTAATTGTAGATGCATATCAAGTCTCTTGAAATATGATTTTTTATTTATAAATCTTATGATTACAATATTAATTATGTAATGTTTCCAAATTTACTATGAAAATGTTCCATACGTAGTATCTTACAGTAGATGAATATTAATTAGGCTAAGCTAATTTATATTAACAAAAAATTACGAACTTACAAACAATGATTATCTACAAAGAAGGTATTCTGATTTTCTTTTAAAATTATTCTGGAACACATGCATTTTAATTTTTAAGCTCAACACATAAGTTATTATTCTTTTCTTTTCACTCCCCAATTGGTTGGCTTGGTCAACATTGCTCAACCAAGGTGGAAATTAGGAGATATGTCATAACTGTTGGACTTTATACTTGGAATTAATTTTTGTCTGCACAAACAAAGTAATTACGAAAATTATAATTAGCAATTAGTATTCATGTGATAGAAAATCAATAGATAAAAATAACAACGAGGAAGTCTAAGAAATAAGAAAAAGAACACGAGATAAGAGAAATTGAAAGTTTGAACCCCGTTGATCTTGATATTTGTGAATCAAGTAGTTCGTCTCAATTGATTTATAGGCTAGAATCATAAAAGCCAAAGGAAGGTGAAACTAAAAATTATACTTAAAACAATTATAACGAGAAATACCTCCTAATCATGATATTTGTGAAACAGGTAGTTTGTGTCACTCATTTTTATTATTAAAGAGACAAAAAAGGTGAAAATAAAAATTATACTCAAAACAATTGAAAAAATAAATTCGCAAAATAAGAGTATTCACGTGTAAAAAAATTTCAAGAATGTACTCTAGCATAACTTTGCCTTCTCTACCCTTCTTTAGGCTCCTGCAGCGTAGACATATTGAGAAAACAACTTGCACCAGGTATATTATATGTACATCATAAGCAAGTACTTGAATCTAGTCATAGACAATAACACAGGTAACATAAACTCGAAATCTAACGTAAAACATCATCGTTTATCGTGTTAACCTGCAAAACATAACAAGAATTAAGATTTTAATGATTCGAAAATTTCATTATATAAGAATCATTAGTATGCAGTATGAATAGTGTTAGAATGTAGACGCATTACTTGCAAAAAAATGTCTAATTGAAAAATCATACTTCTATTGGAGCCCGAAAAGTACAATCTGATCCCTTAAATAGTATCAGAAAGGTTTGTAAATATAGTAGGTCTCTTAAATTTTGATATTAAATCCTAATTCGGACTCTAAAAGTATGTGTAAGTATAGTAACTCTCTTAAATTTTGATATTAGATCCTAATTCGGACTCTAAAAGTATGTGTAAGTATAGTAACTCTCTTAAATTTTGATATTAGATCCTAATTCGGACTCTAAAAGTATGTGTAAGTATAGTAACTCTCTTAAATTTTGATATTAGATCCTAATTCGGACTCTAAAAGTATGTAACGTAGTATTGGCTTTAAAGTGTTAATTTGCTTGGGCTCTACAAATAAAGAAAGAATCTACCTATAATAAAATCTTATTTGATTCTAAAGTCCTAAATTTTAGAACTTCTAGATGAATGAGGAAAGATTTGATAAATAAACTTTTAGTTGATTTTAAAGTTCTAAATATTAAAAAATTATTTAAATGACAAATTTATCTAATGTAAAATCTACTTTAAAAGAGATAAAAAAAAAAGGCGAACGACATTTTGTTAAGGACTTTCGTATTTTTAATATAGTATAGATACAGGTTACTCACTTGAAAGAAATAAAAATTTAATATATTTGTCTGAGTGTCAATTTTGTAATGATTGAGGAAAAAGCACGATATGTTGAAATCAACTTCAAAGAGCAATAACTTTACTGTAGGCATCCAAATTAATAAGTAAAATCATCAAATAATTTCAAGTATATGTCTTTTTGGAGTCTTAAATTGTATTCAAATAAGGAAAGAATATAAGCAAAATCTTACTCCATACTAAATATTAAAATTTTGAAGACCTAAATAGTAGAAAATAATTAACATCCAAAATTTAGGAAAATAATTTAAATTACAATTTTATCCAATATAAAATATATTTTTAAAGGATAAAAAAGATAAACGACATTTCGCTAAGGGCCTTCGTGCTTTTAATATAGTATAGATAAAAGCATGTCATTTAGGAGAAAATAGAGAGTTTATTATTAAATTGCTTCCAAATATAATATAGATATATCATGTATTTTTTTGAAATGAATAGATAAAAAAATAGTGTCATTCTTCCCCAATTTATGCGGCACTGTTCGAATTTCGAAAGTCAAACTTCTTAATTTGATCGTGAATTCGAACATAAAATCTTTAAAATTTTAAAATAAGATTTATATATTTTAAAAAAACATAAAAAATCAAAATACCTAAAAGACATATGAAAAATCACAATAAAAAAAATTAGGCTGACAGTATCTAATTGGGGAATTAATTAAAAAACCAAAGATTAAAACAAGAGGAACACCAGATTATAGATTAAACACGTGATGTTAAGAGAAAAGGAAAGAAGATAGAGCCAGGTAGTATCATGATTCATGAACAAGGTATAAAAAATGAAGAAGAAAGTATCATCTTACAAACAAAGTAAATATTGGAGTTGTAAAATCACTAGATACAACATGGTAAATCTACAATTGATTGTTACATAGGTTAGGCGCTTCACTAAATGACTATTAGGTCCTTCCCGAACCCCCCCCCCCCCCCCCTAATTATATTTATTAGGTCATCCATTGGTTAGGCGTTTCACTAAATCGTCGCTTCATTTAGTAAATTGAATTGAAACACAATTGAGCAGTATCAAGACATCTCACCCAATTCTTCTGCGATTCGGTAACAAAATGACGAAGGTATTCCTCCAGTATGCCATTGAACCGCTCTGTCTGACCATCAGATTACAAATGGAAACTTGAATTGTGACTCAACTTGGATGCAAGACACATAAAAAGTTGAGTCCAAAAGTTGCTAGTGACGCGAGAGCCATGATCACTAACGATGTCTTTAGGTAGGCCCCAATATTTGACAACATGAGAGAAGAATAGTTGACCTGTATCTTCTGTTGATATATATATGTTAAATATATTTTAATATTTAATTATTTTATTTGCCTAAAACCTCGCTAATTGATCTTCACAATGCTTAATTACATAAAAAGCACTATGAATTAATAATAGTAGACGATAATTATGCAATTTAAATACTATTTACACTCTAATTTAGCCGCACTTTATCAATGTTTGAATGTTAAAAGATAACAAAATGCTCTAATTAAGAGTTTTACGTTTTGCAGGAGCCACTCCGAGCTAGGAGGAAGCTAAAGAGTGTTTTGGAGTCAATATGGAGCGTGGAAGGCCAATCGGAGGATAGCACGGGCGAAAAGGAGAAAGAAAAGCAAGTGTCAGATCTGCGGTCCAATCCGCGGTCGCGGACAAAACCATGGGCAAAATCCGCGGTCAGATCCGCGACCACGGACCAGCTGATGGAAGCCAATAATATGTAATTTCCAGGGCGACTAACCTAAACCTATATGAAGCCTAATTCGTCAAAAAAAGAGGAGGAGCTATTTTTAGAGAGATTTTGAAGGCAAGAACACGGAAGGAAGACAGAGAATTTCCTTAGAGTTTTCATCTTCTTCTTTTTAATTCCATTGTTAATTATGACTTTCTATAGTAAATTGTTATCTATTAGTATGAGTAGCTAAACCATTATCTACGGTTGATGGAACTAATTGTTGGATGAAGTCTTGACTCTGTTTTGATATAATTGAGTCGGTTTTACTCTATGACTGTTCAACTACGTGTTGTCTTGTGATTAATTGAAAGGGCCCTTGATTAATAGTGTCTAGCTATCTTGTGTTGCTTGAGAAAGAACACTCGGTTAGATTGTTGTTGAACAACACCACTTTCGGGTAAGTTAAAGAGATTAATTACTTGAATTTAAAAGCAAGGTTAGAGATAACGAAGCTTTGGTGGGATAATTCTGAGTTGCATAAATTGTTAGCTAGAGTAGTTCGAGAGAATGCTTCTAGTAAATTATTGTAATTGATCGAGAGATAATTGCGGTAACTCACAACTCATATTTCTTATAGAGTGTTACGACGAGATTATAGCTAACGTGTCAGTAATTAATCCGATAATTGGGGAAATCAATAACCCTAGACCATTTTACCATTGAATTCAACTTTATTCTTGATTATTGCTAGGTTTATTGTCATTTTTCCTTAGTTAACTAAATTCTACTCATTATCCATTAAAAAATCTTGCATCCGGGAATTGTTCGAGGTTATTATTAGCAGTGTTAAAAGTTGTAGTAAATAGGTTAGTTTCCTGTGGGATTCGACTCCGGACTTGAACCGGATTATATATTTGCCGACCGCTTAATCCTTTTTATAAGGCATAGTTAGACTTTAACATAATAACTGCGTACTTATGTCACAATGGAAGAAATGCTAATTGCATTACTTTATTTTCTTGGTTTTAATCTTTTATTTTTAGAATTGGATTTCAAGTTAGTAATTTCTATTTTATCCTTCTTCGTTTTGAATCCAAAATAGGAGAGTTGAATAAATTAAAAATTCAAAGGAGGTTCATGACCGAGGGGAAAAATGTCGGAGTAACGGTAATTTTGGAAAGTACGAATTGTGTCCAAAAAAATGTTGACAAGATATATGTAAGATTTAATTTAATATACTTGAAGAATCTATGCGTTAATTGACTGATAGATTCTATTCCTAATTTCACGTTTTCTATCAGTGAGAGTAAAACGATTCTTCAAGAAAACGTGAAATTAGGAATAGAAGAGACTAGCTAGCTTTTGGTTCAAAATTTTCAAAAAGAGTTTCAAACCGAAAATTATTTCAAAAATTTTAAACAAATGTCCTGCACCTAGATGCCTAATCCTAATGTCGTTGTTAAATATTTGGGTATTTAGGGAGATAATGTCATAAAAATCGAAGGGAGTGAATTAAAATACATATTCCTTTCTCACATAACTAAAACAGCAAATTAGGATATAAATTTAGGAGCAAGAAAAAAAGGAAAGGAAGGGCATTAATGTCACTCAGATTACATATTCTAGATAAGGATTAAAGCGGAGAATATCATGTTATTGTTATAAAACAAAGACCGTAAAGTAAAGACAAGTATAGAGAGAAACTGATATATTATTCGAACTCAAACTGATGTACATAATAAATTGAAATCTCTTCTATTTATAGAAGAAAGGAAGCTGCTCTGTAAGCTGCTACTATAAGCTGCTATTACAAGCTGCAGTGTAAGCTACTATAAGCTGCTGTGTAAGTTGCTACTACAAGCTGCTGTGTAAGCTGCTGTTGTACCAGATATGGATAATCTTCTACTGAGAGCAATATTTATCCATAACGGAGTACTGAATGGATAAGCTTATTATATCCGGTATGGATAATCTTCTACCGGGGGTAATGTTTATCCATAACCGGGTACTGAAAAGATAAGCTTATTATACCCGGTATGGATAAACTTCTACTGGGGGTAATGTTTATCCATAACCGGGTACCGAAGTGATAAGCTTCTTCAGGAAGCTTATTTCCAATATAGTACTAAATAGATAAATATATTTACGGTGGAGTCCCATATGGATAAGCTTCTTCAGGAAGCTTATTTACAAC